CTAAGTGGGTATCTCCTACGTAGGAGTTAGTATCTCCTACGTTGGACATAGTATCTCTAGCGTAGGACTTACTATCTCCTACGTAGGACTTACTATCTCCTACGTAGGACTTACTATCTCCTACGTAGGACTTAGTATCTCCTACGTAGGACTTAGTATCTCCTACGTAGGACTTACTATCTCCTACGTAGGACTTACTATCTCCTACGTAGGACTTAGTATCTCCTACGTAGGACTTAGTATCTCCTACGTAGGACTTAGTATCTCCTACGTAGGACTTAGTATCTCCTACGTAGGACTTACTATCTCCTACGTAGGACTTAGTATCTCCTACGTAGGACTTAGTATTTCCTACGTAAGACATAGTATCTCCTACGTAGGACATAGTATCTCCTACGTAGGACTTACTATCTCCTACGTAGGACTTAGTATCTCCTACGTAAGACATAGTATCTCCTACGTAGGACATAGCATCTCCTACGTAGGACTTACTATCTCCTACGTAGGACTTACTATCTCCTACGTAGGACTTAGTATCTCCTACGTAGGAGTTAGTATCTCCTACGTAGGAGTTAGTATCTCCTACGTAGTACTTAATGTTTCCTGTAGGAGATTATCGATATACGTTTATATGGATTAATCTGAAACGGTCGACTTATAGCCCCAGACACGCACACAATCTCCTGTTTCACTGTTTCAGTCACTGTAAGAGTCTACAGTCATTCGTTTCATTCACTATTAGAGTCTACAGTTATGTGTTTCATTTACTGTTAAAGTCTACTATCATGTGTTTCAATTTACTATTAGAGTCTACTGTTTCCTTCACTATTAGAGTCATGTGTTCAACTAATTGTTGCACATTAGTACTGTGTTGGACCGACTGTTATACTTTACTGCCTTGCGTTCAGTTTGCTCTACTATTACGCGTTGCAGTTAGTTCACTGTTATATGTTGCACTTTGTTACACTTTACTATTATGCATTGGATATTTCAGAGGTCGTTGCACATGAATCATAATCTGCGTGTACAGACGTGTCTTAGACTATCGGTGGCAATCTATGTGTACGTATCCCCTTATATTTATACAAATAACTATAATGACAATTCTTTGCCTTTTTGAATTTCGTATTGTTTTACGCCGCACTCAACACTCGTCCACCCCAGTCAAGTCAACCTGTAAACATTTACGAATAAAACCGCAAACGAGCGTTGCATCCGATCCAACGTAGCCCCATCAAGACAAGCAACAACTTGCGGAGGTCGTGTTATAACCCGAGTTTCATATCACACCTCACCCCAACCACCTGTGTGTGTGTGTTTGTGTGTGTGAATAGATGTATGTATGATAGATTAAACATAACCATACCCAAACCCCCATAACTGCAATTAGAACAGGGTCCACGTCACCCTAACGTAATACACACACAATGACACTCTATAGTAACACTGCCTTAGTGTCATGAATATTCACTGACTCACATTTCGACTATCTAACGTCCTGCATAGCAAAACATTTCTCAACTTAATAACCATCCTTAAAAAAGGATATATTAAGTCCTACGTAGGAGATACTAAGTCCTACTAACTCCTACGTAGGAGATACTAAGTCCTACGTAGGAGATACTAACTCCTACGTAGGAGATACTATGTCCTACGTAGGAGATACTAAGTCCTACGTAGGAGATAGTGACCCCCAAAAAAATTTTCACCGTGGCCCTACTACACTTCCGTAGATTTTAAAGTTTATAAAATATCACATTTTAACCATGCTAAATTTGCTGAAGATTTAGATATTGCTTGTGAAAGCAATTATATATTTCTATAAGCAAGACATTTTCTGGGTTTTTTATAACTTCAGTAAGTCTATATTATCGATGTTACGACTGTTAGTCGCGTTTAGGCTCCAAGTATCAAAGAAATGGCGGCACAGTTTTCTACTGAACCATCTTTATAAATGTGAACGTAACCTTGGCTTTGTTGAAACAATGCTATAAAACGATCGATGGGTATGGGTATGGGTATGGGTATGGGCGTATGCTGATTTCAGCACTATTCGGGCAATATCACGGCTGGAAAACCCAGAACTTTTCTTCACACGTTGTACTTAAAACAATGATTTAGTAAATGAACTAAATATGCTGGACATAATGTAGATGTCAATGTTATCATGTAGGTGGCTGATAACTTCTTTGAGTGGCATTTTAGAAGTTGGGAAGTACAATATAGAACAAACTTTATGGATAACAACTTCTTTTTATTCGTGAGTGCGACGTTTCGATACAGATCCTTGTACCGTTGTCATGCTTGACACATGCACGCACGCACACACACACACACACACACATTGGACGTGACATGTTGTTATCCATAAAGTTTGTTCTATATTACCATGTAGGTGTTCTATACTCCTGGACTTTACAGAAGTGGCTGCCAACCAGGCTAATTTTCATATCGAAACTGTAGAGGCTCACTTTGGCTAGGGAAGGCTCACTTAACGTCCGCTACACCGAGTTTATGAACAGTTTGTTGAGAAGGAAAAACACCTTTTAGAGTCCTTCTCTTCGATGAAGCTGGCTGGTCTGAAAAGAGAAACAGAGAGAGTTCTGTTTGCGGCACAGCCCCAGTCACTTTCCACTCGAGTGTTGATATTTTTTTATGAATAAATGATAATTATGTAATTGGTTCAATAAGTTCGTGTACAGCATAGCCGCTTGTGATGAATCCAATGAAATGATATACATGTACATGTATACCATACTTGGGTGTCGCTTGCGATACAAATATGATTCTCCGCTCACGAAAGGGTGTCCTCCCATTAGTCGTACGTCCCACTAGTCATACGGATTAAAACAACATAGAGTATGATTGACTGCATCAACAACTAACTTTGTGATACCTTGGTAAAAATAAAGTGGAATGATCCAAGAAACAATAATACAGCTTCACATAAGTGAACTTTAATAAGTCTTCACAACACACTTCCAGTGGATGCAGTGTTCCTTTGTAGAATTCTTGTTGTCAAGGTGACCTGGAAACAGTACCTGTTGTGTACCTCGCCTAGAGGTAACGTATTCCACTTCAAGCAGTCCTGCCATAACGACAAGAGTCATATGCTAGAGTCAAACATTGATTTAAATGTTTTGATTATCAACGGTTATGGTGTATTATGTTCATATAACTTCAATGTAATTTACTTTAATAACATTCGTTTACTAGTAACAGGGAATGGTTGGGACCGACAGGTACTTCGAGTTATGAATAATATTCGAGACGGCAGCATTCGACTCATCGGGATTTGACTGTATATGATTTCTCTACCACAGACTGCGGCATTCTCAGTGTTAGATATTAAACTAACGTCAAGCTCTCTAATTAGCGGACTAGTCCATTTTGCGCAAACGGTATATGCCTGTTGTTGTTTTAATTAATCCCTCATTTGCTGTTTGACTAGCGGGAGTAAGACGTATGGGCGTATGACTAGTGGGAGTAGGACGTATGGGCGTATGACTAGCGGGAGTAGGACGTATGGACGTATGACTAGCGGGAGTAAGACGTATGGGCGTATGACTAGTGGGAGTAAGACGTATCGGCGTATGACTAGTGGGAGTAGGACGTATGGGCGTATGACTAGTGGGAGTAGGACGTATGGGCGTATGACTAGCGGGAGTAGGACGTATAGGCGTAGGTCATAGGGCGTCCGTATGTTGGCGGACACGATTGGGATGTGAGAAGGCCGCAGTCTTGCGGATTCTTCACATTCTACGAAATGGCGCGTTTTTCTGGGAGAAGTACCAATCGCTGATTAGACAGGAGAGCTGATCTATCAGTTTAACTGTGCCGACATCGCCCGAACCATCGTTCCTGAAAAGAAATCAAATCGGGGCAACTTGTAACAGAATATGATATTCAATAGCCAGTGTGAAGTACAAAATGTTGTCCAAGAGAATGGTTTTCATAAACCGCGTATAGCTGTAAAATTGCTGATGTGCGTACGCACGTCATTGTTTGCACTAAAGTGCCTTATGGATTTGTTACTCTTACCGATGTCCATACAATGTGGCGATCTCTCTCGATCGACTTCGGTCACCTTGCAGTATCTTCAAAATAGAAGTCTTACCATAAAGATGTGACACCACACGATGCAAAATCATTTATCTCTAAATGGAGTGTGGTTACTGAAACGAAATGCTTGTCTTGTAGTATTCTGTGTTTACACATTGATAAACGTAACCCACAATGCCATTTACATTACCTGATCGACACGAGTAACAAGAACAGTAAGTTAAGCGCCCATAAAATACACACCTTGGGCCACAGTTGTAAGAATGCAATACTTGTTGTTATGTTCGCCAATACACTGTGTTCCTGGGTTGTTGACAGCAGTCTGTTATAGCAATAGTTGAACATTATCTTAACCATCATCAGCCTCTTTTGGAACCTATGCAGTTTCAGGGTTTTTTTTACATTGTCTGATGTTTGATATGAGAGCTTCAGCAAATTCCTTGAACGGCATTTAGAAGAGATACTGACTGACTGACTGAGTTTGGTTTTACGCCGCTTTTAGCAAAATTCCAGCAACATCACGGTGGGGGACACCAGAAATGGGCTTCACACATGGTACCCATGTGGGGATTCAAACCCGGGCCTTCGGCGTGACGAGCCAACGCTTTAACCACTAGGCTACCCCACCGCCCTTAGAAGAGATACACATAAAATGTGAGAATTTATGGATGTCAGCTTCTTTGTTACGAGGAACCCGATGTTGCGAAGTACATCACTTCTAAATGCCGTTGAAATGAGTATGCATATACCCCGAAACGTCGTATACCTCATAATAAGCAGTTGACATCCATAATTTTTCACCTTTTAAGAGCTACTTTTCGCCCAGCCGATCACTGTTTTGTATTGAAAGTCAAAGTGTGTGAACAAAAAACGTAGAGCGTGAGCTGCCTTGTTTGTTTTCGTTCCTGGAATTCTATTATTATCTCCTATAAAACCACGTGACGAGCCCACAACATGCATTTGTATTGGAACCCTGGCTGTGTGAAGGCAGAACGAGTCAGGTAAGGAGAAATGTTGACATATTCTGTTGTTTGTTTGTTGTTTAACGCCGCACTCAGCACAATTCCAGCTGTATGGCGGCGGTCTGTAATTAATGGAGCGTGGACCAGGCAATCCAATGATCAACAGCATGAGCATCGATCTACGCTTGGAATAGGGTGACGTGTCAACCAAGTCAGTGAGCCTGACCACCCGATCCCGTTATTCGCCTTTTACGACAAGCATGGGTTGCTGAAGACAAATGCTCTTCACGAGTATTTTGTTTTCTAATTCCACAAAAACCTGATTATTAGTTAAATAGTAAATTAGCATAGTAGTAAATATTTCTTAATAGAAGATAGTTGTCGGTAATTTTATATATATGTTGTGAAAAGAAGTATGATATCTGACGTACATTCTTTTCAGCGTTTCCTATTGTGGTCGCCGTTAAAGCTTCGAGGCAAGACGCAGAATTGAACATGGAAAGACCCAGCGGTGGGTCATTAATCAATCTGTTTGTTTATAATTTCTCTAATGTATCATAATTTTAACGTCAAGTTCTTTATCAGCTTCATAGTTGTAGGGCACCATCCTAAGTCAGGATATACAACATTCTGTGAAGAATGAGTATTTGGTGTGTCTGGATTTACGTCCGTTTTAGCAACATTCCAGCAATATCACGGCAGGGGGCACCAGATTTGGGCTTTACACAGTGTACCGATGTAAGAATCGACCCCGGGTCTTCGGCGTATCCAACGAACGCTTTATCTACCATTCTACGCCACCTCAGCCATTCAGAGATGAACTATTACACTGTGTTAGATATGGGTGGGGGTGGGATGGTTAATTATCCGAGTTAAGAAATTATAGCAACACGTCTAGTATTAAAATGATCCACCACCAACGACAATTGCTCCGAACCCGTGCTAAATGTGACTAAAATATATGTTTAGTATTGACTGGCTATCGATAAGGATAATAGAAATCGATAATCGTTAACTAAATATTGATTGATTGTCGAGACATACCGGAGACGTAACTTTGACCAATAATATCTAAAGAAAATTAATATTTTTCACATCACTGGCGAGTGGTGACGTTTTTTGCATGGATTATTAACAAACAACGTCCTGAAAATAACTTGGGAGCAAACCATGAACTAAGTTCTAAATTTGTTTTGTGTGTGAGAAACTTAAGACTTTTTTCTATCACAAAGGGTAATGAACGATCATCATTTATAACCTCAAAGATATTTCTGATTATTGCTCATTTTAGCCAGCCTTAATCTTGACACTTGTTACTTCTCAGTGAGTGTGAAACGGCCTGGATGCTTGCAACAAGATTGGACGGTTACATACGCTTTTTATAAAGGCAGCATAAGATCTGCGAATGCCTACGTGAACGGGTAAGTATCAACATTGAGAATTCTAGCACGCCAATGTGTGATACTCGATTCTGATTGGCTGAGAGCTCATCAAAACCGTACTTAAATGTGGCAGGTATGAAGTCATGTAAGGTTTGGTTCGTTTGAAGTTGTCATTGTTTATAGTTTTAACGCAAGCAGTATCATTTTTAAGCGTTAGTCTATGGTTATTTTTAGATCTTGCCTAGTCCATTACGGGTATAAGGGGTGTCAAGAGATTGTGTCATCGCTTGTGTTGTGCCCTTTGACTTGCTTGGCCCCTTGTGTTGATTGGTTCTTTTAAAACACTAAACATTACTTGCACGTCAGCCATTGCACTTCACTTCAATCCGATCGCAGTTCAGAGCATAAAACAACTAACACGTCCGATCTAAAGGTAGGAACAATATTTCAAGTATTTTATATATGTTGTACTAAATAACAATGTTATTAGTGCTAATTAAATGTTCTTCATGATAATAAAATAGGTTAAAGTATATTTGTGCAATTGTAAATATTATGCCAAGGTAAGTAGACAATCTTGCAGGGATATAGTAAATAACGATCACGTTTAAAACTATGATACTTTGTTTATTTGAATGATGTTTATGCATAGGTTATTTATTGTGCATTATAACCATAGCGCACTTGGTTTGCATTGTACTTACGATGCAGAATGTGTGATTGATTTTGGGTATGACCTAATGTGGCTTACACATAGTTACGTCAGTACCGAACCATAGCTATTGATTGTTGTGATTTGTATACATACATATTTAGAATATTGAGACTTTGGTTTGCTTGTTCTTGTAGCAGCAGTATATTCCTCTTGGAGGCGTGGCTCTTCTACACCCCAGTGTCACGCACAGGGTATGAACGTTATCATTGTGTCATATGTATAAAGTTATTATGTTATTCACATAGTTGATGGATTTTATGTATTATGTACAAACACGTTCACCATAATGTGTACGTTGGTACGACGTATTTGAAACGTTATTCTAATACCAAGGAGTTACCGTTCTTGGTGGTTCAGTCAACGTGTTAATGGCTATGTACCTATTACCACAACAACATTATATAATGTGCACCTGTTGACATTAATTGATATTACACTCATTTCTAATGTTAGAAATGATATAAGAGATTCAATGATTGTATATATTTATCTATATTTACATGTTTGCCCTTAACTTGGCACTTATTTTGTAAACATGTGTTTCAGGGTGTCTGTCAATAAAGAATAGATCTCACAACCCGTAATCAGTGTCTGGTCCTCAGTATTCCCATTCACGTCCCGGTTACATAATGGAGCCCCCAGTGAGGATCTTTGCAGACTATTGATGACAGAGCCACCACAGGTTGAGAAGGATGAAGCATTGCCTGCATCTTGCTGTTCGTTGAACCGGTCAGTGCACAGGTTTCATTTACAGGACTGATTGTAACACCTGTGCTGGGACTTGTTCTGTGATTACCTCGGACATATGAGACTTGAGCTGACTTGAGCTGAGTCTGGAGACTTGTGTGTCATAAGCGTGTGCTCATGAGTTCTGACTTTATTGAACTGTGCATTATGTGCGTCACGTGACTTACTTGATGTGATATATTTACCTGACCCAATACCTCTTGGTTTGAATTTACTTAACTTTGTCCAAGTACTTGCCACAATAAAGACCTTATTGTCATCCATCATATGCCATAGAGCAATTGTACTTACATTATGAAGCAGTGGGTGTTGATTCAATTCCTTTAGTTAAGGGCCGGCCATAGTTTGTGTGTGTTCTCTTGACTCCGTTGGTACCAACCTGTTTAGTTAGTTTGTGGATCCACACATTGAATTTTAACTTAGATCATTTCAGTCAGTATAATTTAGATATTTTATTTGTACAATTACTGGCTTTGCTTGATTAGTTATTTCTTAGCATCAGATCATATTTCAGGTCCGCATGTAAGTGTGAGTGTGATCTTTACTTTTCAGCTCTACCCTATAGATTAATTTGGTGACATCTAAACTTAGATAAACTTTAATTAGGGACTTAAACCCAGTGATACTTGTACCACAGTGACGCCTTACATCTACACTGCACTAGATTGCACTGCACTGTAACCATACTGTTTACTAATTCCAATGTTCCCCATCTATCCGTTTATCAATTGCAGGTAGACTGTTGTATATGCTGATATGCTGGTGATTGAATTCACACTCCCGCTTGTTTGTCCTGTCGAACTCTAAATTGCATAACCTGTCAATCATTACTTAGTTGTGTAGTTATTGTTCAGGTTTTTGGGCTTGAATAATTGTTTCGAAGGTTTATTGTTGCTGGTAATCTTGTATGACGTTTCTTTAAAGAAACAAAAACAACTTAGTTACCAACTCCAATAGGACTCTGTTCTTTCTCATTCTTTTCAACTCATACTTTGGCCAAATATCTTAGCCAATTACCCATTCATTCTTGTATTCTGATTATACCTGATTGAACTAGTTCAGGATTTCACTTGCCTTTGACGGTGCAGCTTGGTATCCAGTGGGGATCAATCGGTTTATTACTTGAAGTTAAGCATATTTAGTTACACGTTCACAGTGTCAACTTTGTGTCAACTTCTAGTTCATTTCCCCTCTATATCTCTACAACAATGGAGCTTGATAAGGATGGATTGAAAAGTCTACTAACAGTGTTTGAGAAGATGGGAATGTCTCCCAAAGTCGACACAGGGGAGGACTTTAAACAATGGATTCATGGAATGGCACAACAGGAAGGGCCCCTTGATTAAACTGGAGGAAGGAACAGCCCACAAGATACCTACTGGGAACAATGATCCCACAGATCCTGGGACAAGCTCAACTACAAGTTACCATCACTTCCTAGGCTTCCCATATTTAGTGGAGAGACAGACAAGGATACTACATATGATTTGTGGAGATATGAAGTTGACTGTCTTCTACAGTCAAAGACTCATACACGTGAAGTTGTCTTTACAAGCTATCAGGAAATCTCTCAAAGGAGATAGCAGCTTTAATATCCATGAAACTAGGCCATAAAGCAAGCACAGAGGATATATTAGCTAAAAAATCAGGAGTGCATTCGGTACACTTAGGAGGAAGGAGAGTCTTATGTCACAGTTTTATGGTGCATCTCAGAAGGAAGATGAGGATGTGTCGGCATGGGGATGTCGCCTTGAGAACCTTATGTATCAGATATCAGAGCAGCGCCACTTAACCTTGGATCTAACAGGATGAGATGCTTCGGAGCAAAATGTGGGATGGGCTCAAACCTGGATTGAAAAGCTTGGCTGCGCACAAATATGAGGTCATTTCTAATTTCGATGAACTCACGTCTTTGTCTGCGAGAAGTGGAATTTGACCTTAACAGAAACAAGCCCACGGCAGAGAAAAAGTCAGCTACAGCTAAAATGGCTTTCACTTCAGATAGTGCTGAGGCAGCTTCAAAGCAAGAAGTTCTTGACTTGAAGGAAATGGTGAAGGAAATAAGAGCAGAGATTGCAGAGCTCAGGTGCCAACATCAGGGGTCAAGTTTACCAGCACCAGGTTTCAACTCCCATCCCAAGTACACCCCAGTTTCTCAAACCCCAGAGTCAATCATCCCCACAGACCTGAGAGAAAAGTATCAAGTGGAGGCAAAGGAAAATCTCCAGCATACACTGGTTCACAATCCAAGCCATTTCTTTCTACACATCCAGGTTTTGATGTCACCAATGAACAGCCATATGGAACTGACCTACAAGCATCAGGGATGCATCCTTATTCCAACACAAGGAACAACTGGATATGTCTCTCTCCACCAGAGAGAGGGACACTGTGGAACAACACTCACATGCAA